ACTAGGCATACGCTTGGGCACAACTACTCTAAAAAACATGATAAAGTGGTCAGATGTTTGCTCCTCTCAGCAGGATCACTGTGACAGTGAGAGCTATAAATGTAGGTTGATTTGGGGGGCACAAATACCACACAGGGCACTGTTGTCTGTGACATGATTTTCTGAAATGGCAAATAACTCTTAGTCAAGTTCTGATGGAAAGAAAGAATAATCTTCCTTCAGTTAACAAGAAGTTGCATTCCTGAAAAATTTAGAGTATATTAAAACTTTACAAAAACTATTTCATGATTACATATAAAACAGAGTTCTAGACTCAGATCATTATAAACAAGGTTTTCATGTACCTGAAATGCACATCTGGATATTTGAGGCTGTGAAGAATGGGCAGAGATTCTTCAATGTATAAGGATGTCCCTTGCTTTCTAAGACATCTAGCATGTCTGGCAAGGATCCATGAGACAGGGAATGGTGGCACTAATTATCAGGCTAGTGATGAGGAATGGGACACAGAGCCCTACTAGGCTGCAAATTAATAAAAATCCTATGTAAAAGTTTTTGCCCATCTGGCCTTGTTGCACACATGCCCCCGTATCCTCAGTTTTTCTTTCCATAGAGATCCAAATCCTTCTTGGTGTCCCTGGCCCTGCCCACAATATGCCAGTAGCACCCCATAATCATTGTGACAACCAAAAGTTCCCCCACATTTCTAAAATGCCCCCTAAGTGATGGAACTGCCTCCATCAGGCACTGCTGTTCTTGGTCATCAGGAAAAGTACATCCAGAGTTTTAAAAGGACTTCTTATTGCCCTGCTGGAGATGTTTAGCCAGAGAAGAAAAGATTCAGGAAGGACTTGAGAGTTTTCTTCAATGTCATACATTGAAGTAGAAAAGAAGGAGTGGATTCGTTCTGTGTTTCCCGAGAGGCGAGGTGCCAGTGGACCTAACCATGTGACAATGTGGGTAGCGGTTAAGATCATAGACTTGAGCTCCACAGACCTTCGCAATCACATTTCTGCAGATGAGCCTTTTTCCACTCCAAGAAGATGGAAACTTTTTCTATTGTTAATAATTTTAATAGCCCTCTAATCTACTTCTTTAATGTGTCTGGATAAAGAAGGGTGGTGAGAAAGGGAGAAAAATGAGACAGTTCAAGCCAAAGGACCCCTAGTCCAGGAGGTCTGAGCTGGGAGATTCCGGACAAGAGGATGAGAAGAAGGACCGCTCTGGCTCTATCTCCCTCTGTTTCACCTCCTCCCACCTCAGGCCGCACACACATGCCAAGAACATTACCATGGCTACCCAGTACTCCCACACCCTAAATAAGGTGTGAGGCAACTGAGGCACGACACGCTCAGCAAGGGGAAAGCTGGGTCCCCAGTCGTACACCTTAAGGGTACAAGAAGGTGACATGAAGAGGCCAGGAATGGGGGCTGTTTTGGACAGAGCTGTCAGTGAATTATCACAAGACTAGACTGGGCTTCAAGTATCCTCTTAATATAAGCTCCACTTGTTAACCTGCATCTCGGGCAGAATCTGTTCCCAAAGTCCACACTGCAGCCCCTAAATCTTTAACCACAGTCTGTATTCACATTATGATCCTAAGCCTTTGTGTAAATAATCTCAGAAGGGGGCCAGCCCCATGGCCGAGTGGTTAAGTTCATGTGCTCCACTTCGGTGGCCCAGGTTTCGCCGGTTCAGGATCCTGGGCACAGACATGGCACCGCTCATCAAGTCAAGCTGAGGTGGCATCCCACATGCCACAACTAGAAGGACCCACAATAAAAATATACAACTATGTACCAGGGGCGCTTTGGGGAGAAAAAGGAAAAATAAAATCTTTAAAAGTAAATAAATAAATAATAATCTCAGAGGCCTGAGAGAGTGATTGCGTTCCCTTCAGTTGGGTATGTTGCCATTCAGGGAATATGTACAAATAAGTGTGAAGGTGGAGACATAAATGAAACCCAGAGTAATGGTTTGTGATAACTTTTGAATCATCGGGAAAGTTCGTGAGCCTGTACTAATCCTGCGCCAGCTGATCTATCAAACCCCGGACAAACTCTAACCATCCCCTCTGTTGAAAGGCCCACCGGCTGAACCACACACCTGCAGGGACCACCATCTAGTGGCAAATCAAGGGAGTTGCAAGATTTTAAATTGTTTTGAAGGCCTGATAAAAGATCAGTCCTTTATCACTGAATTCGATCTCCTTCATACCTGGAACTAAGGTTCATTTAGACCAGGGGTCAACAAGGCTTTGGGCCCATGAACTAAGAGTGGTTTGTAACTTCTTTAATGGTTGGGGGAAAAAAATCAAAAGAAGAATATTTTGTGACATAGGAAAATTACATGAAATTCAAATTTCAATGACCATAAATAAAATTTTATTAGAAAACAGCTGTACTCACTTGTTTACATATTTTCTACGGCTTCTTTCAGACTGCAACAGCAGAGGTGAATATTTGCGACAAAGAACATATGGCCCACAAGCCAAAAATATTTACTCTCTGGCCTTTTACAGAAAATATTTGCCAACTCCTGCTTTAGACTAATAATAGCTTAATGCCTGACAATGTTAAACAGGCCAGGAAGAGCTCTGTGCTGCCAAGAGCATTCACAGGCTGATTCTTTCACTCATTTCATAATCACCATGACAGGATCAAAGAAAAAGTTCTTGTGCACATCTGGCACTCACATTCCAGGATGACAGGAGCAGGTTCTTTCCTTAATAGTCCATTATATCCTGTATAATTACATCATTGACAAAACTTCACACTCTCTCTGGTCTCTGCGTTCTTACTAAAATAGCATTCTTGCTTTCATATTTCTTCCCTTGGGTCCAAAAAGTCCTTAGCTGCAAATTGCTTTCCTCCCAAGAATTCCTAAATTCACTCACTCCACGTGCATTTGTCAGCAGAGTATCAAACACTGTGCTCAGTGCCCTGATACAAAGATGAATAAAATGTAGGCCCTGTCTTCAAGACATTGACCATTTAGAGAGGATTACGGAAGAGCATGCAAAGATGGTACATCTTTACAAAGAGAGATATAGGAGGCAAAGGGGAAAGGCTTCCAGAGACCCAAGGGCCTGTCCTTCAGGCCCAAGGACACAGCAGCATGAGCAGAGATGTGGAGATAAAGAAATAGCATGACATGTGCTGTCATGTGTAATCTGTTGGGTATCGAGGGAGCTACAGGAGCACACATATTTTTCTTCAGCTTACCATTGGGGCACCAGACTCTTGTCTTTTATGTCCTAGTGTTTCGTGTACATTCGAAAGCTACTCTAACAGCAACAATAACTGTTTAAATGCTTGAAATTGTGTTTTACTTACATTACTTCATATGTTTTCACAACACCCTTTGAGGTGGGTATTATGGAGGCCTCCTAGTTAAAAAGCAGCAGCATCTCCTAAGTATAATCCCCAGAGAAACTCTCACATGTATACAGAAGGAGACTGCACAGGAATTTTAAAGTAGCACTGTCTGTAAAAGCAAAAATGGGAAACAAACTCAATACCTATCAATAGGAGAATGGATAGCATATGGTGTATTCACGCAATGGAATGTCATAGAGCTGTGAAAGTGAATGAATTAGAACCTCACATCTCAGCATGCATTTTTATAAAAAAAATAGCAGTGAGTGAAAAAACCAATTTGCAAAGGAATAAATAGTATGTATAACATTCACGTAAAGTTTTAAGCCACACAAAGCAATACTTCATGTTACTTAAGGATACATACATACGTAGCAAAAGTATAAAGAAATGCTGCTTTCAGGATAGTATTTACTTCTGAGGAGGAGTTCATTAGGAATTAGAGGGTGCACATTCCAGGGAGAGGGCCCAGCATATACAATAAGTTGAGTTATGCAATAGCTTGGTATTTACAGCAATCAGTAAATGTTTAACGTTGCTGAATCATAAAGTGACAGCAGAGTGGGGCAGTGAGAGCAATAGGAAGATAACTGGATCAAGGAGGTGCCCAGAAGCTGGGTAGAACTCACGGTTCAATTCTCCAACAGACAGTGGGCAGCCAGTGACAACTTCTAGACAGAACCGTTTGACAGCTCTATAGAGAGCAGATTGGAGTGGTGAAGTCAGAAGAAGAGTTTCTGTTAGGCAGCTATTGCCATGGTTCCAACAAAAGATGTTGGGAACCTGGAATTAGGCAAGGGCAGTGTGACAGGAAAGGAGGGATACTTTTGCACAGTACACCAGGACACACGCCCATCAACAGGAAAATGGGTGGAATATCATACAGCAGTGAAACAAGTAAGTAACATCTATATACAACAGCTTGGATGAACCTCAACAGGTGGAGTGAAACAAGTCCCAGAATACTGCATAGAGAGAGAGATAAACCTTATGAAATTCAGAAACAGTCTAAACTTTTTTTAGCCATACAGGTATGTGGTAAAGATACACATGCAAGGAAATGACTACAAACCAGGGTACTGATTTCCTTGGAAGATGGGGAATGAGATGCTAACATATGTGTGTATATATATGTATATACATGCATATATACATACATTGACAGAGAGAGAGAAAGATCATTTACGGACCAATGATGACAACGTATCATGACCAAGGATCCTGTTTAATCTACACTGTGTATTAAAGGCCCTAGCAAAGCAAAGAATGATAAAGCAGGAGACGATGTATTTTTCAGATACTCTGGAGGCAGAATCCGCAGATTTCTAGACCTTTTTTTCTTAGCTGGTTTTAGAGTCACTCTCCGAAGGCGACTGGCCTCGCGTGCTTTTCCTTCCCTCCCCACGGCAGGGTGCCTGAACCGCACAGGACTGAGCCAGGGGAGCGACGCTAGAGCGAAGCCCCGGAAAAGGCGGATGAAGGGGGCGGAGCAAACAGGGAGTCGGGGCTAAAGGGGCTTTCTGGGAGCCCGGCGGCCGCGCACGCGCAGGAGCGCGCCTCTCCGCCATGGCGTCGGCGCCGTCCAGTCAGCCGCCGGTGGTGGCGGCGACTTCCCCCCAGGAAGCGCGGTCTCCGCCTCCTCCCCCCACCCCGCCTGCTCGGCGGCGGAGGCGGCGGTGGAGGCAGCGGTTGTCCCTGCCTCTCCGCCACCTCCCCCTCGGCCTATCCCCCGGCCGGCGGCGTTGGCGGGGAGGGGGACAGTAGTTGTAGACGCCCGCCCCTGCCTCAAAGAAGGTGAGTTCCCGCCCGGCGGCGGGGGCGGCCGGTCCTCAGGCTCTCAGCTCTGCGGCCCAGCCCGCCGGGCGCGCCCCGACTCTGCGAAATGGCCGACCTGGACGGGGCCAGCGTCCCTCCGCTCCACTCGGCGCCCCAGCCGCCGCCCCGGAAAGGGGCGCTGGGCCCGCCGGTGGAGTGTGGAGGGGAAGGGCGCCTCAGCGTGCTGAGGTTCGAGTGGGACAGACAGGCGGCCATTAGAAGGCTGTGGCCCTGGAGTGTCAGGGAAAGGGAAGGGGATCGACGAGGAAACGCCAAGATTGAGGGACAGAGAAAAGGCCCGAGACGTTGACGGGAGTGAACGTGCGCTGGGCGAAACTCACATCCTGGAAACTGACTTCCCGCAGGCTCCTCGGGGAGAGGCGGAGGGAGCGTGGGAAGAGGGGGAGGCTTTCGAGGGATCCCTCTGGGGCGTTTTCCTGCTTTTCGAGGATAACGCCCTGTAAAGCAAGCTTCTGAGATTTACAGGCCTCTCTTCATAGTGGCCTGAGTTTTAATATATCCAGGGTCTACCCGTGTCAAAGATGACAAAGGCGGACACTAGAGCGAGGGAAACATTTTATTCCGTCACTACGGACAGTGGGGAAAGAGCTGAGCTCCGTTCCGATGTGCGCAGTGACTGGGATTTTAAAGGGAAAGTGAGGGAATGAGGGAGAGGTGGGGTTCAAGTCGAGGCAGGGAGGTGAAAAATGACCGAGGGTTGTAACTGCAGTGAGGTCGGCTCTGCCTGATTACCGGCAATCACGGTAGTTAGCAGGACCCTGCCCTTCCTGATGGTTAAATTTCGAAGGAATGAGTTTCAGGTCCTCGAGAAGTTGTGGGAGACAGACAGACATCTCAAAAGAACAGAGGAAGGATGCACAATTGTCAGCCCTTTTTAGTTAATGCTCGAAAAAAAAGAGGTCAGGGACCTATCATCAGGTGTTGGCTAGAACAAACAATAAATTTATTTTGACAGCCCTGAGCTTTTCCAAACAGGAGCCCAAAACGGGGCTGGGTCATCCCAGGGATTCAGCCTCAGGCTCCTAGAGGCCAGGTTACAATTTGGTCAAGTCCGTTCCTGTGGGAAGTTTTTACAGTTCTCACCAAGACATTGCCCCTAACACAAAAAAGCTGTTTCTTGATCATCTCAATCTAGGAAATGTTTGAGTTCTTACAAGTGCTATAAACCTGCAAACAGCCTGCTTGCTCCGAACTGTGAGAAAAGGCTTTAAGGCCGTTTGGGGAATGATTTTAGACGGTGGAGTGTGATCCCACTGCAGATCTCAATAAAACATTTAGCCATCTTCAATTTCATAATTAACTTTTAGTATTTGCCGTGTTAGCTTATGTTGTTTTTTGTCTGCAGGGTGAAAGATGGTGGAAATCAGAATATTGTAGAATAATTTACATTCCTTTTTCCTGGAAGGACATCAGTAAATATAATAACCTCATAAAAATAATTTTTTCACCCTCTTCCATGATATATTCTATTTTTGTGTGCTATTCCATAATCTCTTACACCTTTCACTTTGGAGGAATGACAAAGTTCTACAATATTATAAAGTTCTTAAAACATTTTTGTAAGCACTTTATATAAATTTAATTCACTAAAAATGGAAATTAGAAATTCATTGCAACTAAATGACATTCCATTTTGTCTCTTAGTGAAGGCAACCTTTGGAAGACTAGAGTTAGTGTCTTCAATCACGGTTCTGAGATAAAAAAAAATAAAATCTGACTTTTTTTGTCTTCATGCCAAACTTCGTGCCTCTCACCAACAAGTGAGCCTGGGTAGTTTATAGATGTCAAGCCTGCACTTCAGTTTGGCACCCACAGCCAGATTGCAGGAAGATTTGGAAACAGTTTCTCATGGAAAAACAGCATTTCGTCAGGCCTGGCATTTTGTTTATTTTTTGCAAGGACTTTGAATATGTGCAGTTACTAAAGACTTTAAACAATGTCAGTTCACACAATGCTAGCAATAACCTTTCTAGACCACTTCAAGGTGCTATGATGACAATACTGCAATAGGAGTCTTGACTAGTAATAGGTTTTAGTGCTAGTTTCTCCACTAGCTGTATGACCCTGAGTAAGTCCCTAACTTATCCTTCAAATTTTCAAAGTCCCAAATTTTCCTTAGAGTGTTTCATCTGTGGGGAGGGGAAATTGGACCAGCCCAATTGCGTGCTCTCAACCAGAGGTAATTTTGCCCACTCCCCTCCTCCACCCCGCCAATTCCCCATCCCAGAGGACATTTGGCAAGATCTGAAGCATTTTTGGTTTTCACCACTGAGCAAGGAAGAGTGTAGTGAGCACAGGTGCTATTGGCATTCATTTGGTATAGGCCAGAGATGCTACAAACATCCTAAAATGCACAGGGCAGCCCCCAACAACGAAAGATTATCCTACCCAGAATGTCAGTAGTGTTGAGGTTGAGGAACTCTTGCACTAACCAAACTCTGAGGTCCTTGACAGTTTTAAAATTCTGAGCTGATTTTGAAATTTCCTGTTATACTCTCTCCATGGCTAACTGTACTAGAGCAGCAACTCATAAAACATGAAATTTCCACCTATAATGGCCATCGGATGACAGTCAAAGAGTAATGAAATCTCTGTTGAGTTAGGGTTGAGACTATTCACTAGGATTCGGAAAACAAAATAGAATTTTTTTACCTAAAAAATTACCTCGTCGCTTTATTTCAGATAAATATCCTTCATTAACTGTTCAGTTAAATGCTACTTAGCAAATGTAAATATTTGATATACTATTTAAAACACTAGTAGGACTTAATAGATGTTTTTAGTTTAGATATTTATAAAAGCCTTAAATAATTGCCAATTAAGATAGTACATAACAAGTAGAAGGACCTGCAACTAAGATATACAACTATGTACGGGGTGGGGGGGAGGTTTGAGGAGATAAAGCAGAAAAAAAGAAAAGATTGGCAACAGTTGTTAGCTCAGGTGTCAATCTTTAAAAAAAAAATAGTACATAAACAAGAAGAGAAAAAAAAGTGTTGCTTGGTACTTAGCCAGTGCCTTTTTTTTTTCTTAAAAGACTTTATTAGGAAATTACTCCAAAGGTACCAAAGAATTGTCATGCTTCTGGTTCTTAAAATTCCACTCTCACTTTCATCCTGATAGGACCATTAAATCTAATTTGAAGAGCATCTGCTAATCCATTTTCCCCTGTAACACTTTTATGAGGAGCTCCTCTGTATTGGGCTTGATAATGAACAAAAGTCAGTAAGGATTAAAAATTGGCAAGCAGGAAAGATATAGAAGGTGTAAGATTACAAATAGGAAATTGAGAAATTAAACTCAATCACAAAAAAAATAAATACCATGACCAGACTTATATGAAAAGAAATATACATGGAATTTACGGTCAAGGTGTCATAATATTGTCCAGGACACTCTAATTCATTCAATGAGGTTTCTCAAACACTTTTGACAAATAAATTTGTACCAAGTAATGATATTCCTGACAAATCAGTAAAAACAAAACCACAACAAAAAATTCTTGCTTATCTGCTTTTTAAGAAAGAAAAATTAAATAGACTCAGTTTTAGAATGAAGGACATTTCTGACTTATTGAATCATTAACCCATTTACATAGCAATTACCTAAAAATGTTTTTCTTTGTTTTCATGATATTAAGCAGAGATTCAAGTCAAATGACAGAAAATTTAGCTAATAGCCCTTCTTACATTTATTCAGAAAATATTTATTGAGCTCCTGCTAAAGTACCAGGTACTATGCTCAGTACTAAGGATATACAGATGAATTAAACACAGCCATTTTAAAGAGGTGAGTGGTAATGTTTTTAGGGAAATTAGAAAAAAAAAAAAAGCAAGTGGAGAAAATGCAGTTTTAAATATGGATTAGTCAGACTCCTGAAATATCATGGGTAGTTCATTGTTTTGTATAAATCTGTGCTCTGCCCACAACATATTTGCTATAGGCACGTCAGAGCACATTATGTTGTAAACCTAATATTGGCAACTGGGAAGAATGGTTGGGAGGAGGATGTCTGGAGAGACATTTATGGTTATTTGTTTCAGATCACTGGATTTATTAAGTGTCAGTATGGTAATATTAACTAAGTATGTTAAAATGACTAACTTAAGATTGCCACTACTATATTCAGCACATATATTAGGACATGAGCATTGGGGGTTTTTTCCTCCTTTTACAGATCCATTCACATTTACTAACCCTTTAGAAGGAATGGCATGCATTTGATGGCATTCTGATGTAGAATGTCTGGCTTGGATCCAAATAAAAACTAACTTCACAAGCATGATCCTTGAGCTGGCTAGCCATAGAGTCCTTATAATTATTGATGTTCAAAGACTTAATTTAAATAAAGACACCTTTTATATTAAACGTGTAACTAGACTCCCAGTTATTGTTAATCCCTTTGTATTGGTCATTGGAAATATGCCACAGTAAACTCTTAGTTATTTTGGGGATTGTTTTATTATTGTGAAATAGCTAGAGCTTGGCAAACTCATAGGTCAGATGTTAATCTCATTTCCTGAAAGGCAAAGTTAATAACTAATATAGCTAGGAGTATTCAAGATGCTGACAGGTACATGGCTGCATTTCTAGCACAGTTAAGACCTCTAAAAACTTAAATGGGGTTTGACCTTCAGGGTTAAAAAGGAATGAAACAACATGCTTTGGCAAAGATAACAATCAGTTACGTAGTCTCCTAAAACGTAATGCTGTGCTCTGCTTAGTCTTTCCTAAGATTATAAAGGTATTAAAAGATTGCAAAACTCAAGAGCAGGAACAAGGCAAGGATGTCCATTCTTAGGATTTCCATTCTGTATTATGCTGGAGATCCTAGTCAGTACAATCAAGAAAAAGAAAGAAAAGGTGTACAAATTGGAGAGGAAGAAATAACACTGTCTGTATTTGCAGAGGATATGATCATCTGTAGAAAACCCCAAGGAATCTAAGAAAAGCCTACT